TTTTTTAGTAGAGATGGGGTTTCACCATGCTGGCCAGACTGGTCTTGAATTCCTGATTTCGTGATCCTCCTGACTCGGCCTTGCAAGGTGCTGGGATTACAAACGTGAGCCACCGTGCCCGGCCCTGTTATTCTACTTTTATTACAGGTGCCTCAGCCATGAACCTTGCAATGGGTGAGGAAAAGATAGTACTTTTTCCCCCCTGCAGGCTCTCTGTTCAATATTAGTGAAAATGTACCTTGATAGATCATTTGCGGAAAAATAATTCATGAAATCTTTACAGAATATATCAAAATATAAAATATTCATGCCCTGTTATTCAACAATTGCACATCTGGAGATTTAAATTGAGAAATAACTATGTCAGTGTGAAAATATATATGCTCATGCATAACTGACCCTGTAATATTAATACGAGTGAAAAAACAAAACAAAAATGACCCAAATCAATTAGTAGTTAAAGACTGACCATGAAAAAGTTGCTATATAAATATAATGAGCCCAGGGTGGTGGCTCACACCTGTAATCTCAGCACTTTAGGAGGCTGAGGCAGGAGGATCACCTGAGGTCAGGAGTTTGAGACCAGCCTGCACAACATGGCAAAACCTCGTCTTTACTAAAAATACAAAAATTAGCCTGGCATGGTGGTACATGCCTGTAATTCCAGCTACTCAGAAGGCCAAGGCAGGAGATATGCTTGAACTCAGGAGTTGGAGGTTGCAGTGAGCCAAGATCGTACCACTGTGCTCCAGCCTGGGCAACAGAGAGCGATCCATCTCAAAAATAAACAAAACGAAATAAATATAATGGAATCCTATGTGGCAAATCCATATTGTTACCATCCAAGATATCCACAATACATGGTAGAATGAACAAAACACAGTTTAAAATGTATGAGTATAGAATGATTGTTAATATACCCAGGTAAGTTTTAATGAAACTAAGCTTCTCTAGAATCTTCACTGCTGTGTCCTTGAGACCTAAGACAGTGCCTGGTACTTTGTAACCATGCAGTCATGTTTGTTGAATGACTAAATGAAAGATGTTTAGAAAGTTTTTAACCAAAAGTTTAGCAGTGGTGGAGAGCTACTTAATAGTAATTTTTCTTTGCTCTTTATATTTTCGCTATGATTTGAGTTGTCTTCAAAATGCTGCTTTTTTGAGACTGAGTCTCTGCTCTTTCACCCAGGCTGGAGTGCAGTGGCATGATCTCAGCTAACTGCAACCTCTGCTTCCCAGGTTCAAGTGATTCTTCCGCCTCAGCCTCCTGAGCAGCTGAGACAACAGGCACGCACCACCGCGCCCAGCTAATTTTTCTAATTTTTTTTAGTAGATACGAGGTTTCACCATATTGGCCAGGCTGGTCTCAAACTCCTGACCTCATGATACACCCACCTTGGCCTCCCAAAGTACTGGGATTACAGGCGTGAGGCACTGTGCCAGCCCTTGTTTCATTTTTATATTTTTATAGAAATAAATAATATATTTAAATTATGTGACGATGCCTACTGCCTGTGAGACTTGGCAGTCTCACCTGTTTCAGCAGCTGTGTAAACTGGGTCAACTCTTTTGGAAAACGATTTAACATTAAATATCCCCAAGTTACAAAACCCTTCCTTCCTTTGTCTGTTATTCGTTCTTGGGAATTTATGCTAAGGAAAAAGATGCAAAACATGAAGTGATCTAGACAGCCAACTCCTTCATTTAAGCTTTTATATTAGGTAAGTAAAAACTGGTCAACCTAAAGACACCTCTAACAGAAGGAAGAGTGAAAGTAAATTATGATAAATCCATTAGATGGAATTTAGGCCGGGAACGGTGGCTCACGCCTGTAATCCCAGCACATTTGGAGGCTGAGGCAGGCAGATCACTCGAGGTCAGAAGGTCAGGACTAGCCTGGCCAACATGGTGAAACCTCCTCTCTACTAAAAATACAAAAATTAGCTGGGCTTCTTGGTGTAGGCCTGTAATCCCAGCTACTCGGGAGGCTGAGGCAGGAGAATCACTTGAACCTGGAGGCAGAGGTTGCAGTGAGCCAAGACTGTGCCACTGCACTACAGCCTGGGTGACAGAGCAAGATTCTGTTTCCAAAAAAAAAAAAAAAAAAGGAATTTAATGTAACCATTACCAACTCTGTGGTAGTATGAACAAATGGAGGCTGAAAATGCAGACATGTAATGATTTAATTTGTGTGTAAACAAAACGACTATGTTTTGTTATCTGTACTATGATGCAGAATCCTTAGTGCAGTTTTTTTCTTCTTAAAATTTCAGAAAGAATGTGGATTGTAGAGTTGTAGATAGGGGTTTTCATTTAGGCCTTGCAACATGGCTGTTACATGACCTTGCTTGATCAGTTTCCCTAACCTCTTTTTGCCTCAGTTGTCTTACCCACTAAATAGGCTAATAGTACTACCTCGCAGTATGAAGATGATTAAAACGAGTAAGAGTAATGACTGACAAACTATGGTGATCGTTTTTATTGATGCTTTATTACATTTTCACTTTTCAGAAATTTTTCAGTTCCCATCAGTTACAAACGGAATGTAAATATGGCTAAAAAGGGAGTAAGAAAGATTCAAGAAATGGAGTTGTGGAGTTGGGCCCCACCCACTCTGGGACTCCGCGGGAAGCCTTCCGCGTGGAAACCACCCCCCCCCCGCCCCGCCCCGCCCCGCCCCGCCCCGGGACCACACTGGGGCACAGGCGCTCATGTTGGACGAGGCGTTCCCGGCGGTGTCCAGCAGGGGACGCTGCCGGCGGAGGCGGGACCGGAAACCAGGCCGGAGGCGGCCGGGCGTATTCGCCGACTCCTCCTGTTTCCGCTGCCGCAGCCGTTCGGACCGGAGTTGTCGCCTGTCCGCCGCCTTCTCCGTCGCCGCGATGCCGCTGGAGAACCTGGAGGAGGAGGGTCTGCCGAAGAACCCCGACTTGCGCATCGCGCAGCTGCGCTTCCTGCTCAGCCTGCCAGAGCACCGCGGGGACACTGCCGTGCACGAAGAGCTGATGGCGGCCGTCCGCGATAACAGTGAGGCCCGCATGAGCGCCGAGTCAGCGGCCTAGGCTTGGGCCGGCCCTGCGCTTCGGAGCCTGCAGGGACTTTTTTTTATGGAGCTCCTTCTGACGGGGTCTCTGAGACTAGGCGTGTTTTCTCTGGCCCTTGGGGTTTTGCTTTGGTTGGGGGTCCCCTGGGGGACCTCGCCTTATCTCAGAGGGCATCTCTGTGCGGCCTTCCCCTGTAAGGGCTGCTTGGAGGAGAGTCGTGAGGCATTAGTATTTAGCCCTGTGCTTGGCACAGAGCAAAGGCCCCGTGACTTACTGTCATTCGGGACTGCTCGGGGTATTCCTGCAGGAGGGTTCAGCTTGCCGTGGAGGGGAAATTTGGGTTCGGTTCTTTTTGTTCTTCCTGGTAGCGAATATGAACGTTTGAACATATGTATGTGAGTACGTGTGTATAAAAAGTCTTAACCTGTTTGAAGACTTTTGGAACAGAATCTGGCAGGAGCAAACCGAGGATTGCCTTCCCTCCAGCCCTAGTTGGAAGAGGTTGGCAGTGCCGGGATTGGCCCTCACGCAAACCTCCCACCAGCATACGTTTACGTTTTGCCAAGGCGATTATTAAGTGCCATCCCATGCCTTCCTGTTAGTGGGGAAGAGACTGGTGGATGACCTGTGTGTCGGGGGGTGAAAGACGTGGGCAGACATTGACCTGAGGGTACAGTACCCCCACTCATACATCCTTCTTTTTGCGTGTCAGACATGGCTCCTTACTATGAAGCCTTGTGCAAATCTCTCGACTGGCAGATAGACATGGACCTACTCAATAAAATGAAGAAGGCAAATGAAGACGAATTGAAGCGTTTGGATGAGGAGCTGGAAGATGCAGAGAAGAATTTAGGAGAGAGTGAAATTCGCGATGCAATGATGGCAAAAGCCGAGTACCTCTGCCGGATAGGTGACAAAGTGAGTGGAGATGGTTTCCCCTCTCTGTAGTTAGTATAGGCTAAAATTGGGGACTATTCCAGATTAAGCGTTTTTCATTTAAAAAATTAACTTTGTTGTAGAAAAAGTATACAGGTAATCATGCTTACTTGTACTCGTGAATCAGTGTACAGATGAAAAAGTCGTCTCCTTGAAATGCCTTATCCTTTCCCCAAACAGCAGCTAGAGCTGTATTCTTCCCTGTCACATTCCATGCCAGTAAAAACTAAGTGTACATCTAGAGAATTTTATTTACTGCTTTTACGCAGTTGGGATCATTTTCAGCACTTTTCTCACTTAGTTGGGAGGCATTAGTTGTGGTGTCTTTAGTACTTTACACAAGTAATACATTCCTTAGGAGAAACTAAGAAACAGTATAAACGTTGGAGTTCTGTTGATCTTTCTTTACTCTGTACCTGCCTAGAGATAGCCTGTTTAGTTCTTTTATTGTGCATTTATACAAATTTTTAATAAACATTTTTTACGAGATTTTATATACAAAAATACATAAATGCTCAATAAAAGAACTTTTTTTTTTTTTTTTT